AGGAAACATAATAGCTAATTGAACAGAGATAAATACTAATTAGGAAACTGCTGCAGATTATTGAATAGGAAGCTAGAAATAATTAGAGAAAGAGATAAATGCTAATTAGGAAGCTGCAGATTAGGAAGTTTCCTAAAACTGTCAGATCACAGATTTCTTTCTCAGCCACTTTGGATTCCAGAATCGTCCTTCCTGATCATCCGATTTCTACGTTGATATTTCCGACCATAGAATTGGTCTGTAACACCATTCTCTCTATATTTCTTGAATCACCAAATTTCATTAATTTCAGTCTCTGTCTATTTATTTGAATGACATTCCTGCTCATAGAAGGATGTATTTGCTCCAAGGTGGAATTAATACTTCTTTTTCGATTCTAGAAGACGATTTATGTGATTTTTGTATGTTATTAGTAATCAATTCAATATTCTTCATTTATAATATTTTGAAAAATATGGATATGTTGTAATGTTAATTCTCCATTATCCTTTTCGCCAGATTATATCTTTTGATTCATTAAAGTGGTAACTTGATTAATCTACTGCTATGTTTCTGCTGCTACTTTAGTCATACGAGTTTCAGTTTCATTTTTAAGGAAGAATCAGATATTTGATGCTTTACTTATTCATAAAAAGAAAATATTGCAGCGTTTTCACATGTTTTTGCACCTCTTGAGCACTGATAAACTTTTGTGCCCAATTTTACTTTTTGTGTCAGATTTGAAGAAGGATGCCAAATAAGAAATCAGATTTACATATCCACTTTTATGTGATTTTTGTATGTTATTAGTAATCAATTCAATATTATTCATTTATTTAATTATCCTCTATTATCAGTTACTATTAGATTCCTCATACTAAGCTCTTTATGTTTTTGTAATCTGAAGTTGGGATTTTGATCAATGCACAAGGAATGGACAAGCTGAAATCAATTAAAGAAGCTGTCAAGATAAATGTTATGGATGCTAAGGTACTTTGAGTTATGCAGCTAACATTCTCATAGTTGAAGTTAAACTTTCTACTTATCTATATATTTATAAGGTAAATTATTGAAATCTCAACTATGATTCATGCTCATTTTTTTGAAAATCATTAATATCTTAATGACTTATATGTGGGGGTTGGCCGGGTTGCTTTCCTTATAAATACAAATATATAAATTTATAATATATCTTTCAGTATTAGACAGCCATTTAAAAGTTATAAGTTTATTAGTTTTTTAAGTAATCTTTCATAATTGATCAATTGATCAAGGTTTAGCTTTTAACACTGTATATTTTTGGACTTTTATGCACCTTTCACCTAATGCACCATGGGCAGTGAATAGGAGATTTAGTTTCAGTACACAAAAATCCACTGAAAGGCTATTTGCTGAGGTATTAATTCATAATAGGTTTCTTTAATACAAAATGAATTTTATTTTTTATTAGATATATATCGATGTTGGGTTCTTGGTAAATTATGGATGTTTTAAGTCGATGAACTTTGTCCCGACCTGGGTGTGAGCAAAAAAGCCATTAATTGGTCAAGTTAATGTATGGACTCCTAATAGAAGTTCACTATAGGAGTAAAAGTTATTCATTTTTTATTTTGATTCGTATGACTTTCTGTTAGAATCCTCCAGAATTCTCAACAATCCAAGGAGAAATTGTAAAACAGAATCAAGAAAACAAAGAAATTTTATTATAGATGAACCAGTAACAATGGTCGAAGCCCCCAAAGAAAGAGATTATTAGTCTCAGTCTTCCCAAGTCCCAAGACAAACTGTCCAAAAGCCTCCTTATTACTCCCCATTCCCGTCTATTTATACTCGCAAACTCACAGACCCTTATTACTAATATTATTATTATTACTTCTATTATTAGTCTAATAAGTGGGTTCCTATCACTTTCAATCTGTAATCTAATTTGATGAGGTGATATTTTTTTATTCCAAACTGTAAAATAGTGATTTTCTATTATTCCAAACTTCGACTATATATGATGTACTACGTATTATACCATAAATTTGTTGATAATATAGCTTATATAAAATGAGCAGTGCTAATTGGTTAAGAGTATCCATTAGCGGATTATTCCTTGATTTCTTTGCTGACCTGTCCAGGAAAGTTTGAATTTTCTAATTGATTACAAGGTATTCTATTCGTAGCTAACCTGACAGAGTCATTGCTATCACTCATGCGTTGAACTCTTGATTGAAAATGGCCAACAAAGGTTGTTGGCCATTTGCATTGACCTACATAAAGTACAATATAATATAGACTCTTAGGTTATACTACCTCCATCTCATTTATATTGTCTCTTTACAGTTTACGATGTTTGACCGACGATAAAGCAAACAGATCCCTGTCCGCACTCAAATTATTTTTAGGAAAAAAGATTACATATTCAGAAACTACATTTAGAGCTTTACAAAGTCCCAAAAACCTAAATCAAATTTGATAAATTTTTGATATATAAAGTAAGAAATTAAGAGTGATTTGTGTTGATCAAGTAAATAGGAACTGAGACAATATAAATGGGACGGAGGGAGTAATATTTAGGACTAACTTTTTGGAATAGAACAAGGGTGAAGGTTGTAATTTGTAGGTGTAAATTTCATACTGTTTATGTTGTCTATTCGACTGCCATGTGTGCTTTTATGAGGTTTATTTCTATTAATGGAAGTTTCCGAAGCTGCAAATAATAGTTTTATTTTCATCACAGACTTTCACTAATAAGTACTACTTAAACATCTCTTCTAGAAATGGTGTTTCTTCTCTCTTTCAAGTAATCAATATCAGTGGTGCCCCTCAACTATTCTTCACCAACTAATATAGTTAGTTTCTGCTATGGATCGATCATCTTTGTTTGTTATTTTTTAAAACATTACCTTCTTAATTAGTTTAGTTAACAAATGTATTGATACTTAAATGTTTAATCTAACTCATGCCTAATTGAGCTCTATAGAAAAGTGGTAATTGTGGATAAGGGATTTAGTTTCTGGTTTACATGTTGATATGTTATCACTACGGTATGACAAATAAATCAAACAAAACATAACCATTCTTACAATTCCTTTTGCTTTGTGGTTGCAGGGTTACTCTTGGGAAATAACAACTCTTGAAGGTGGGGTATGGGTTGGGTGTACTATCGAGTAGCCGAAACCCAGTTTTTAATGGAATTACAGATGGAATTATATCAATGAATCACTCCAACTCCAACGCAGTGAAGCATTTTTATTACATGTCATGCGTAACGTAACAGCGTAAGTGGGCACGATAATGCAGACATGGGCACTAATCCATCAAATTGGTATTAGTTGATGAGAAGGTATCAATTGAAAAATCTTTTAGTGACAAAATCTGTTTTTGTATCTTTTCTTCACATTATTTGTTGTTCAGTTATATCTAAAGTGGTTCATGTTTCATTTATCCCAGCACATCACCCTTGAGTCTATTACAATCCTTCATACTTCTCCCTGCCTTTAGTTCATTGTTATCCGTTTATATGAGACATTTGTCTTACTTCTTTTTATGTTACTTTATACTTTAAAATGTGTATGCACTGATCTACAAAATCTTGGTTTGATTTTAATACACGATCAAACTTTCAGAATGTCTGTTTTATTATATTTAAGTTGTAAGTTTCCTGTTTTTATATGATTTTTTTATTGGATTGAAGACATGAGATTCTTTTTTCCTTTTTGTTTGTTTTTATTAAGTTGTTCTTTCTGGGAATTTATTGTCTTGCGGTTGTTAATGACATGCTGTTAATTAATCAACTTATAGTTTTCACCTCTATATATGTGGATATTTTGATAAATATCCATATTTATTGGGTTAGATAATTTAGTTAAGTATATATATACTTGAACATAAAAATCAGTTTTCAAATTCATATGGAGATTATGGAATAATGTTCTTCCTTTTCCAGAGTAGTTGGCTTCATTTTCAGCTTCTTTCCCGTCAATGTGTCCTTTATTCAAGAGCGCTTCTATATCCCAGGATCATGGTTTGCTATTGTGTCCCTTTAGAGGTTCAATCTGGAAGCATTTCTCATGTCTCTTATTAGAGGGAGAGAGACCAGTAGTCAGTATTAAAAAACAAAACATGAAATGGTGGTTAGGTGCGTCAGGTAAAAGCATGGATGGTGTTTATAAGGCTATTATTCCAAGTGTTATTACTTGGCATGTCTGGAAATGAATTATGTAGTTCTTAGCATTGAGTCAGTTGTCAATGGGATCCGTAAGTTTATGCTTACTCCGAGCTCTGCAAATCAGAATCTCAAAGGAAACGAACGGTTCAAAGCAGTAGGGCTTCTCCCACTCTTTTTGATGTGCACAGACCAAGAATTCACCGGCGGAATATACATCTTCTTTCACATATAGAACTCAACTATGCTATTTTTCGTCAATAGGTAGATCAGCGGCTGAATTTCTTCTGAGGGACCATTGTGGGGCGATGGTAGCTGCAGTGGGGCTTCCTTTGAGCGGGTCAACAGATTTGGAGGTGCTCCGGCAAGCTCTTGTTTGGACTGCATCTTTGGGGTTTGCTGAAATTGAACTGGACGTTTGTTCTTCCAGGTTGTTAAAGGTGTGGTGTATAAGGAGTGCTCGGATGTGAGCATACGAATAAAAAAAGTTTCAGAGGAAAACAATAAGGCTGCGAAGGTGATTGCCACATTGGCTTCTCAAGGAACTGTTAATTGGAGTAATTCAAATAATGTCCCAAGTTAATGAACGGGGAGAACGTGGCTATTTTGTTGGACATAGCAGACACTCGGCACTCCATATGTGCTATCCTAATGTTTTACTTGGAGTTTTTTTCCTTTACTCTTTACTTTCTTTTCTCTACGGTTTATGGATTTTGGCTTTATGTCCCCCCATTTGTATTTATGATTTTTAATAAAAAATGATAAATGTTTTCCGGCGTTTACCCGTTTATCTACTGGGTTAAAAAAAACTTTTTCACCCCGTGCAACGCACGGGTAAAAAAAACTAGTTAGACTAATAGCACGTATGGTTTATCAATTCAATCCAAAGAATATATTTGGACGAGAATATATCCGCAATCTATATCTCAAAACTCTGGATCCTTCTCTAATTCAAAATATATCAGCCTGGCAGCTTACGGTTGTCAAATTAGAGTCCCATTCGAACTATCATCACCGCCTTAAACACTAGTAGACTCCCAGTAGAATTCTTCCAGCTGACATGGGATCTGGCTAAATCAATAATTATAAATAGGGGGACCATATCAGCGTATTTCTTCAAGAAGATCTATCAGGCATCGGCACATTATATTTCAAGATTCAGTAGTTGCATAAAGCAAGAAATCACATAAGGTAAATCCCTTTGATATTTACTCCATTTATTCTTTCTCTTTATGGTGTTTTGCAGGGAAATTTGTTTTTGAAACAACCCCCGGCCGCTTCAAATTGGCGTGAGGAGAATTGGAAAATTAACATTGAATTTCCGCTGAGGAGAAAGATGGTGCCCGGTGCATTGAAACTGATTTCTGGCTAGAGAGTTCTGTGGCCATCTGCTCACCACCGAAGCAGAGAAGAAGATGGAACTTGAATAGTTGCGGATACCTCTTGCCGGACTGCTCGGATTGGAAGCTAGTCGGTGTTGGAAAAGATGTCGTCGTTTGAAGGAACCCGCCGTTGTACACGAGAGCTAGTTGGTGTTTGGCAGATTGCTTGTGCTCGTGTCGGATGCCGCGGAAGCTAGTCGGTGTTGAGAGCAGAGAGCTAGTTGGCGTCGTCGTTGAAGGAACCAGCCGCTGTACACGAGAGCTAGTTGGTGTTTGGCAGATTGCTCGTGCTCTTGTTGGATGCCGCGGAAGCTAGTCGGTGTTGGAAAAGACGCTGCCGCCTCTTGCCGGACTGTTCGGGTTGGACGCTAGTTGGTGTTGATGCCAAGAATTTGGATCCAGAGGCTGTTTTTTTTTTCTTTTTAATGTTGTTGCTGCTGCTAGTGCTGTTGCCGTCGGAAATCGACGCCGGAATCTGAAGCAGTCTGTCCAATCGCTGGTGGCTGGTTCCAATTAAGAAGACGAGTGGCTGGTTATTGGTGTCGGAGAAAATGATAGAGCTGGTTTTCTTGTTGGCCTTAGTCGCTACTTGTTTGCTATGGAGTTTAATAGCTCGTTGATCCCGTCGTTTTAGTGCTCGTTATGAAGAAGAGCCGCCTGGTTTATGAAGAATATGACGGGAGATGGAGATGGCCTTAATCATAATAATTTATCCTTTTGTTTTGGGCCATTCCAAGCTTGAGCCTTGTTCATACTTCCAAAATAAAAAAGATATGCAGATCAAGTTACTTCACGATCTGGGCTGCCATGACATTAAATAACTATTCCTCTTTTTATTTGGGTTAATAACCCTGATCGTTTTAACCTATGTTGCACGGAAACGCGAAAACCGGAAGGAAACGGGAAACGGGAAACGTCAATTTTTGCTCAAAAGAGGTTTATTTGGAGAGTTTCCAAAGAGTTTCCGAGAGTTTCCGAAACGGGAAACGTACTCTTTCCCGAGAGTTTCCGTGCTACATAGGTTTTAACCAAACAAAGTCCTAGCACTTAAAGAATTCAATTTTCTTTTAAAGAATTCAATCATTAATAATATTATTGTTATTATTATTATTACTATTACATTTATTTATAATAATAATGATAATAACTATAATGATACTAATGATCCCTTCGTTTCTTTCAGTGCAAAATGATGTATCTCAAAGATGTGAGGCGTGGCAGCAAAAAATATCTCTCCATATCGAGCAAGAAGAATGATGATGAGATCCTTTTGGAGATTTTTAAGCCCTTTGCTCGTGGTTTCTGGCCGACAACTATCGTGTCATATCGTGTCATGGACTGGACTCCTGAATGTGAATATCAAGATCAAATATTGCGGACTTTGGTATCTGGCCTTCCCCATAGACCTTCCTCTGAGATTCTCCCTTCCCTTGGCAGACGTATCCTTGATGAAAACCTCATTCTGAAAAAGAACCTATCATTTGGTGGTGAGTTTAGATTCATCACAGGGTACTGGGAATGGGCCGAAGACATTTTGAGCCTGAGTAAAAGTGTTTTGGAGGAGGGGCTTATACATGATGCCGCTTATGCTTCCTTGTTCACATATGATCGGTGTACGAATGCCATGCAAGCCTTTTGTGAAGCGTGGTGTCCTGCGGTGAATACATTGCTTACGTCAATCGGTGAATTGACGATTACTCTTTGGGACTTGCACGTTATCGGGGGATTGCCAATCATTGGGGACGCATATGATGAGTCTATTCTGAGCACCTTCGATTTGTTAAATGCGGACGCTGATCGCCCTTTTCAACTTTGTAAATATCTATTTCATGCATATCATCTTCTTTATCCAAAGGAGGGAGACAAACGTGCTCTGCGTGTCCATGTGTGGGTCAAATTTTGGTTTAAGAAGGCTTCTAAGTACACTATGCCTCCACAGAGAACAGAAAAGAAGAGATCATCTCGTGCTAAGGCAACTCATAATCCCAGCGGAGCAATTCCAAAGTTTAGCGGGTGGTCGAATTCTATGAAGGTTCCGTTCCACGCACTAAAGACTCCAGCTGGATATGAGGAAGAGATAAACCTAGCAGCATTCTTATCATGTTGGCTTTGCGCCTTCGTATTGCCCCATGAAGGTCCGAGGGTCATTCGTCCGGAAATTTTTAAAGTTGCTTGTATGATGGCTTGTGGGAGGAAAGTATGTCTTGCAGTTCCAGTACTTGCCAGTATTTATCATGGGCTTAATAAGATCTCGCAAGCTCCGTCTCCCGATCAAGTTAAAACATGCTTTCCTGTTCACTATGTTTACGGATGGTTGGCATCATACTTTGATACTCATTTTGAGAATGATATCCAGTCCACAACCCCATTAATGATCGCTTACTCGGGAGAAAGTGGAGCGAGGTCTCTTGAGAAAAGAGGTGCGCGTAAGAGGATTTTTCAAGGTGACGTATCAGCATGGTTATGTTCCACGCATAGGAGGATCAAAGACTATAAATTCTTTGACGGGGAAAATCCTTCAGATGCTGAGTTACCACTTTTCAGAAGCCTTCGATCAAACTACCTCATATTACGCTATCAAAATCATTGTATCTGTGAGCCATACACTCCTCACCGATTTAGTCGACAGTTTGGCTACTTTCAAGCTTACGCTCCCGGTTTGATTGAAAAGCACGACCGTTGTGTTCCGCTTGCTATTGGATTTCGATACTGGCAACAGTTTGAGCATGGTATATCACGGGCTGAAGCGGTGTTTCCAACTCCTCCGACTATCCCAGCGAAGTATTATTCCTTGGAGTACAAAGAATGGTGGAACCAAGTTCATGGTAGCTACCTCGAGAATCGTGTGGGTGATTTGATCAAGATTTGTGATGCTGTAGTTGGCGATGTGATCGCCCCTTCGGATCCCGTGACTCCAGTCTCCAAGAAAAAGAAAAAGGTACCCGATACTGAAGCTAGGTCTTCGCCTCAGAAAAAGGTCAGGCTTGCAGCATCTAGGGCTGAGGTTTTTATCAAGGATGCTGAGAAAGAAACACCTCCTGCCAACGCGAGTGAGAATCAAGTTCTTGAGAAACAAAGTAATGATGATAGGAATTGGAAGCATCTCCAGAGAAAACCTCATCCTGGGCCACTGAAGGTTAGTCTCATTATTTAACAATTTAACTTAATCTCAAGCTTGGACTTATAGTTTCTTCCTTCTTTTGCAGATTCATCCAATCCTTGATGATGCTAGTTCTTCAAATCAAGTTTCTTCATCTAGCTCAAGTGAAGGTGAAATTGATGATCATGACACCGTCGCGGGGTTGATGGCGAAAGCTGCCCCAAGTAATTGCAAAGAAGTTCCAACCAACGAGATACCGACTGTATCCGTTTTTCAAGCAGAGAACTACTTCTTTACTTTGTATAAGCGGTTCGTCATTGAAACTTGGGGCGGTATTCAAAAGAAGTTAGAAAAGGCTACAACAGAGAACGTTTCTTCTCTTCGAGAGAATGTTCAGAGTTGTATTATCCTGATGGAGAAGGACAGTATTGACCTTTCTATGTTGAAGACAAGAGTGAAGAATTTCTTTGAGAGAGCACAAGCATTTGATCAAAAGTGCTCGACTGTTGCTGACAGGGTCCCTATGGAGAAGCAGTCTCGGGAATTGGCTATGTCGCAAGCTTTTTGTGAAGATATTGAAGCTAAAAGATCTCAAAATCAAGTTGCATTACTTGATGATGAGAAATCTCTTAATGAAATCAAGAAGAAGATAGCCTTATTGGAAGCTGAAGCCAAGGAAGTAGAAGTTTTGATTTCTCAGCGTCGTGCAGAGGCTAGTGACTTGGATGCAGCTCTTACGAAGGCTAAGGAGGAATCTTCACGGATTTTGAAGACTATCGAAGCATCAGACGAAGATCAACTTGCTTTAAGTACCCAGAAGGAGCTAGAGGCTTTGAAGGATGACTTAGTCAGCTTTAAATTGCTTTTAGGCTGAGTTTGTTTTTACTTGTTTATAGATTAACTTTTACTCAGCTAGCACTTTCCTTCTTTTCTTTGCATCAAACTATATATGGATATATATTTGATCGCTTTCTTGCTCCTCATGAGTTGATATCTCCTTACTTCTTTTTCAATGACTAACATTAAACTTTATTGGGGTTTGTGTTGTTATAACTGAACTCAAAAATGAAACTTTTGAGCTGCCTACGTACTCTTATGAAGGAGATCAAGTCAAACGTAGTTCATAGGTACCATTTGAATTGGTAATCTAAAAAAAGGTGGGGTGCCGTACACAGTTTTAACTCATGCGGGCCAGGGGCTTGCCGTACACATTTTTAACTCTCGTGGGCCAAGAGTATCTATGATTATGCTCACCCATAGACAAAGTGAGATGTTGTAGCAGTTTAACCACTTACAACATCATTGGTGGTTTAAGCCATTCAACATTTCTTATGGCCATATCCATACCCCAAATATCAAGGGTAGTAAAGCTTTAGGAATCTCCCATTGATCGGGCCAATCTTCGAGCCATCTACGTCGACCAACTTGTAGGTGCCGCCTGAATATACTTCTTGAACAACATAAGGACCATCCCATTTAGGTGAGAGCTTGTGTCCAGTTTTCCTTGTAATAATGATAGGTCTTCGCACAGCTAGAACTTTGTCACCAATTTGGAAAGAACGAATTCTAACTCTCTTATTAAAAGATCTTGACAAACGTGCTTGATAGCATTCTAAGTTCTGCTGAGCTTCTAACCTCTTTCCATCAAGTGCCTCGAGCTCTGTCAACCGTAACTTTACATTTTCTTCATCAGTAAGGCCTTCTTGAATAGCCAATCTTAAAGATGGTATTTGGCGTTCAAGGGGAAGGACTGCTTCAGTACCATACACCAAAGAATATGGAGTACTTTGGGTAGGTGTTCGATAAGTCGTTCTGTATGCCCATAGTGCTTCTTCCATTCTTTCGTGCCAATCTTTCTTTGACCTTGACACTACTTTCTTTAACAGGTTGCACAGAGTCTTATTGAAAGCTTCAGCGAGGCCGTTGGCAGCGGCATAGTACATAGAGGACTTTCGTTGCTTGAAGTCGAACAACTTGCATATCTTGTCCATCAACTTGTTGTCAAAAGGTTTCCCATTATCTGTCAAGATATATCGGGGAATGCCAAAGCGGTAAATAATGTGGACTCGGATGAAATCAGCAACATTTTCCTTCTTTACCTCTTTCAATGCAACTGCTTCAGCCCATTTTGAGAAATAATCAGTAGCGGCTAGTATGTATGAATGCCCTCCTGATGAGCTAGGCGTGATTGGTCCAACTACATCAAGTCCCCAAGCGTCAAACGGCCATGATGCTACTGTCGGATGCAATGGTTCTGGTGCTTGATGGATAAAATTGGCGTGATATTGGCATGCTTGACATCGCCGAGCATAATCCATGCAATCCTTCACCATAGTCGGCCAGTAATATCTCATCCTCTTGATGTGAAAGTGCAATTTAGGACCGGACTGATGAGCTCCACATACTCCGGAATGTGCCTCTTCCATTACTTGTAAGACTTCGTCTCCACCCAAACATCTAAGAAATACACCATCGAAAGATCTTCGATAAAGTGTATCCTTATAGTAGATGAAACGTGGTGAACGCCTCTTTAAGTCCACTTTCTTGCGGTGTAACACCCCGGCCCTGCAGGACCCGAGGTAGTTACTCCAACACACCCTTCAGACCACTAGTACTGTCCTCACAAACCGCCACTAGCCTTTTCCGCGCACTTTGTCCTCACTCATGCGCGCCCTGAGAAACTTCCCAGGGGGTCACCCATCCCAAGACTACTCCCGTGCAAGCACGCTTAACTTTGGAGTTCTTGGGTGATGAGCTCCCTTAAAAGGAGATGCACCTCTGTTGGTATGAGTAGTACTATTAATCCGTTTATCTTAAATCTCAAGTGTTATGACGTGCACTTTGTCGTGAGTGCACTCAAAATAAATCGATACTAACACTTATATGTAGTATAGGTGAAGTAGAGTTCGTATCCACAGGGAAAGGAATAATTCTCTTTTTATGAACTAGTGAATAAAAGGGGGGTTTTGTTTGTTGAGTGATTTAATTAAATTAAACACGAAGATGAACGAGTTATATGAGATTAAATTTAGAAATAGAAGGGACTTGGTCTTGCTACTTTCCACTTGTTGATATATTTTAGTCGATCATTGTTATATCTATAACTTATCCCCTCTCGAATACTCAATCGAGGAGTATATCCAATTCATCGAGGGTAGTTATTAACAACGACCGTTCATTAATAACCCTTACTATTTATCAAATATAGAACAACGCCGTATACCGATATAACAGTAGCTTTTAACCTCTTTAACTCCTTGATGAAATCAATTAAGATTGATAACCTCAACGCAACGGTTTCGGTTTAACCAACAAAATTAATCCCTCTTAAGTTTATTAACCACGACCGTGCATTAATAAACCGAAGTTACTTACTTATGAAACCTTCAACGTTTAACCATCGGTTCGTTGACCGGTTCTAGTAATAATCAATGTTGGAATGTTAACTAATCGTCACTTTGCCACCCTCCAACAATGATTTAGAATGAGATCAAGGGAAGAATTAATAATCAAGAGGAGAAAGTAAGAAAATAACTTACAACTTTAATAATCAATCAAGCTTCAAGAGCAAAACCAAGAAATGGAAGTTTAGCTCCTCATTTGGAGACTAAACATGCTATAAAAATATAAAAGAAATATTATTCTAAACTGAGCTTAAGAGTATGGAAGAAGGAGTGTTTTAATGTGAAGGAAAAGGGGTGTATTTATAGCAAAATAGAGGTGGCAGGGTTCGGTACTCGATCCAGTATATGGGATACTGGACCGAGTATGAGAGGAAATTCCCAGGAAATTGTGAAAAATAGGCATACTCGACCGAGTATTGCCAATACTCGACCGAGTATGCGACAGGATTTTCATCAAATATTCAGCCACGTTCTTTTGCTCCCAGATTTGATGTTGACCAGCGTATATGGCCAATACTCGACCGAGTATTGGCAATACTCGACCGAGTATTGAACAAATTTCAAGATCTTCATTTGATCTTCTCCTTTTTGCACATTCTTTGGTCTTTAGGATCCATCCTTTGATTCTTGGGATGATTTTGACCTGTCCTAAGCTCAGAATAATCCTAATCTAAACAAATTACAAATAATTAATTAAAATAAAGTATTACACCTAAAGTGTGTAATTTTCACAACTAGTCCGTTTATCTTAAATCTCAAGTGTTACAATCACCCCCACTTAGGATCGCAACGTCCTCGTTGCGCCCTTGAACCAATCTCAAATCTCAATCAAATCCCAGAATCTTCCCCCGCTAAGTGACTGCCCGATCTCCAACGGGTCAGCACACTGTCACGAGGTTGCTCTGATACCACCTGTAACACCCCGGCCCCACCGGCCTCGAGGTAGTTACTCCGGACCAATAGTACTGTCCTCACAAACCACCACGAGCCTTTACCGCGCACTTTGTCCTCACTCATGCACGCCCTGAGAAACTTCCCAGGGGGTCACCCATCCCAAGACTACTCCCGTGCAAGCACGCTTAACTTTAGAGTTCTTAGCGGATGAGCTCCCTTAAAAGGAGATGCATCTTGTTGGTATGAGTAGTATTATTAATCCGTTTATATTAAATCTCAAGTGTTACATGCGGGGGTTTTCCGGTAACTTCCCATCAGTAAGATAATCAATGAGTGGTTGTCTCCAATCTTCATTTTCAATATCATAAACCGATGTAGTTGGCATCTCGATTATCTCTTCGGCTGCACCATCTTCTCCGATGAAAGGAGGAATTACCCATTTTTGACATACCCGTACTTGAGTTTCATCGTCAAGATGTGCCATGTTTGATGCTAACCCTGCTAGTGCATCAGCTTGCTTGTTTTCTTTTCTCGGCACATGTTCAATTGTAACTTCACCAAGCCATCCAATGAGTGCCCTTGCATATTTGTTGTAAGGATGTAGTTCAGGCTTTCTGACTTCATAGATTCCAAGCACTTGATTGACGATCAGTTTTGAATCGCCATAGATATTAACCCGTGTTTGCTTCATGTCTACGGCTATTTCAAGTCCGAGGATAAGTGCTTGATATTCGGCGACGTTATTGGAGCATTGTTCTATAAGTGTGAAAGCATAGGACAAAACTTGACCTTCGGGTGTAACAAACACAACACCAGCTCCGGCACCTTCTCTATGTGCAGCCCCATCAAAATACATCTTCCATGGAGGCAAAACTTCAATTATAAGCACATCTTCATCAGGTAGATCATCAGAAAGCTCCCACTCAGCAGGGATAGGGTGATCGGCTAGGAAGTCTGCTAAAGCTTGTCCTTTTACAGACTTTTGTGAGACATAGACAATCTCAAACTGTTGAAATATCAAATACCATCTGGCAAGACGATCAGATAGGACCACCTTAGACATCACATACTTCAGTGGATTCACCCTAGAGACAAGATGTATCGTGTGAGCTTCAAAGTAGTGTTTAAGCTTCTTGATTGCAAATATGAGGGCTAAACATAACTTCTCGATGGGCAAGTACTTCAATTCATGTGGAGTCATCATTCTGCTTAAATAATAAAGGGCATTCTCCTTCCCTTTATCATTTTCTTGAGCTAATAGAGCTCCCACAGACCTTTCTTGAGCTGCAATGTAAAGTATCAAAGGGCGACCAGCAACGGGTGCATTTAGGACTGGCGGTTTCATCAAAAAAGCCTTGATATTATCAAACTCATTCTGACATGATTGGTCCCATATGAAAGGCACACCCTTCTTCATAATTCGACTAAACGGCTGGCACCTTCCCGATAAGTTTGAGATGAATCTTCGTATATAAGCCAATTTCCCTTGTAAACTCTTCAGGTCATGAATATTCCGAGGCTCAGGCATATTAACAATAG